ATCTTACAAATAGAACACTGCCTCCACCTTCCAAGACATTGCAGTTTTATGATTTATGATGCCGTGTTGCCTCCCTCACCTGTTATCATTCCCTCTTTTGAGCTTCAGTCCATGAAGAGATTTCATTCTTAAGACAGAGAATGCATAAAATTAAAAACTACAACCTTCACCTTCTCTACTACAAACGAGTGAGAGGTATTTTAAATGTTACCAGAGCCTGATAATTTTGACTTTTGAATGAGACATTATGACAGCTGGAAAGGGAAGGGCAAAGCTAAGTGGTCCCGGCTCTGAACAGTCTCTGCTCCGCAGCCCAAAACTTCTGAGTACAGACTCTGAATACCTCTCCCTTGGGCTTTGGCAAGAGGTACAGGGCAGGAGTTCAGGCACCAGATGTTTTTTCAAGGGACAAATATACTGCAGACATCATCTTAGTGTTCAGCTGGGTAACACAAGAAGAGGTTGATTTTTCTACAGTAGAAATGGTTATCTGAACTGTCAGCATTAAGGAACTGTTCAGTTAAACTAGGGTGACCACTTAGAGGACTCGTATCAGGCTTTCACAGTCAAAATTTGAAGATAGAAAGTAATCTGAGAATTTTTAATGATAAAATTTTGCTGTAAAAAATCTGAATGCCAATATTATCGGCACTATAATTGCAGCAACTAAGAATAAATATATTAAGTGATCTATTGCATGAGGGGACCTGGTTGGCTTTTTCTTCTTTTTCTTCTTGTATATTTATAGTGGCGGTTATAATGCAATTGCATTATATTATGAAGTACAGCCTGGTCTTGGTTGTTTGATTGTGTCATTGAATGCTTGATTTTTTTAGTCATGTACTTGATAGATGGGCAAGATCCTTTCACAATATTCATTTTCCACTGCTCTTTTCAAACTTTTTAGAAGTTATGGGCAAGGTGAGTTTATGAAATTTTATAACTCTAGAACATTTACAGGACAACTTTGAAGTGTAAATATTAAAATTTCTCATGAAACAAACCAAAAAAATCCACTTTTCCTCAATTTCTTCTAACTAGTCTTGATTTTTTAAATGAAGTTTTTGCTTTTGAATAGTTATTGGTTTACAGAAAAATTAGGAAGATAGTATAGAGAACCTCTATATACTTCATATCCTATGCCATCTATCATTATCATTTTACATTTGTGTGGTTACATTTTTTAAAAATAGCAAGCTAGCACTGATACATCAATATTGACTAAAGCCTACTCTTTTGTTATTTCCTTACTTTTTACAAATGTCCTCTCTCTATTGCAGAATCCTACCCAGGATTCTTAAGATTCCTTAAGATTCTCTTAAGATTCCTTACAACTGTGACAGTTTCTCAGGCTTCCCCTGTCTTACAACCTTGACTATTTTGAGAAGTATAGGGTTGGAAGTTAGGATTTTTAAAAGAATGTTTCTCCACAGGGATTTCTATGTTTACACTAGAACTATTGGCTTTCTGAGAGAGGACAACAGGGGGTATACAACCAGCACGACTTATGATGTTGACCTTCATCACCTGGATAAGACAGTGAAATAATATTTTAAGCAATTCATTCCTTGAAAATTTGCCAAAGAAAAAAGAGTTAAAGCAAACATGGTAAAACAATAAATAAATCACAAGCAAACAATCACCGTAAGGCTTTAACCTGTGATTCCAGACTTCATTAAGTAAGGGAGCTTTGGTCATCTATCATTTTTCTTCTCCTCCCCACTTACCCATCTAACCCAGCCCTCTGTGCCTGGGTGCCTCTATTTTTCTTTTATTTAATATCTAAGTAAAATTATATTTACATGAAATTATGTTTCTACTATTTCAGAGATGAAAATGCCACAGACCCTCTAGAACCATTTGGAAGGTCTAAGGTTGAGTTTTGGGCTGTGCAGGACTTAACCCTAATTTTTATGTGAAGATAAAGGTTAAGCATAATTTCTACCCTTCACATTAACAGAACAGATAAGTCTCACAGGGTTGTCAAATAAAAAATGTACCACAAGTGCAAAGGCCAACCATTCAACCTTGCACCTGCCTGCCAGGAAATAGGATTTGTAGGGTAAGGACTCACCAGGGGCAGATGCAATTCCCTTCTCAAATTGTTGTTTCTCCCTTCTATTGGACCTATTCACGTTACTTCATAAAAACATATTCAGTGACTTAGTGTTTAATAGTGATTTGAGATCATATTAAAAATAAAACTCCCAGATTAAAACAGCACATTCCTGGTACTGGAAGAAAAACAAAAAAAGAAAACCAAACAAACAAAACAGCACACTTTACCCCATAATCACACAAAATTGTTATTTGTTAATTAAAATAAATTGATAATAATTACATATATAAAATGTCCTAGGGTTATTAGTGCGTCAGCTCTACCTCCAGCCTTTCTTGGGGAATAGGTTTCACCCACAGCCTTTGCTCCTTGAAGCCTTAAATCTGCACCAGCCATCCTCTGGTTCCTTCCCCGCCCCTGCTCAGAGAGGGGACAAATCCTTACAGAGCCTTGTCCCACTTACCCAAGGGCTGACATACAAGGATGAGCTGGACCAGTTAGAATTTTCCTTTGGAAATTTGGACTATATAATAAGGAATAAATTGCCAGGAAGAATTTTACTGGAGCTGTCAAGTTGCCAAAGGCTAAACTGAGCCAAAGCCATGTGTGGATGGAGTTGTGAACTGGTATAAAGAGAAAAAGCCAGTTGGGGAAAAATGATCTTGAGGAGACTTATCAGAAAGCGGTCACAACTGGGAACATGAAAGAGACCAAAGGAGGGAGACCAGACCAAGACTGCGAGAAACTGAGGACCTTACGACTTTCTAATTTATTTGGGCATGGGTGACTAGCTTCAGGTAACACCGGTCCCACTTCCCTGCGATTAACTATGTCTCTCTTCCTTAGGATTCAAAGAGAAAGGTCTAAAACAGTCAGTTTCCATAAGCCCCTAGCCCACTAGTGGCCTGCTAAGATTTTTTCAAATTTAAGTAATTTCCCTTGCAAAAGGGAATATTTTAAATGCTTTAGAATGTCAAAATTCCAAGTTTACTTCTCAACAGGTTTGCTTCAATATAGAACTACCAAGTTAGAGAAGATGAAAACCACAGTTGCCACATTTCTGTCACGTTTAGTAATCACATAGGCATGCCGTTTTCCCACCATAGAGGAGGTTTATGATGTACCCATTGTAGTTGAGATGTTGCCTTTTGTGCTTGTTGACCAACAAATGCACTGCGTTTATTTTATGACTATGCAAAAACATGACCCAACAACGTACTAAAACATGCCACCGGTAGAATGCTATGCATAACAACAGATTTATAAGACATTCATTAAAAGTCACTAGCTATCCAGGCCAACAGAATCTTAAAAAATAAATATTTGAATAATTGTGCTTCCCTTGAAAATAGTCTTTGCTTCTTTTGCATAGGAATTTATTTGTGCCCTTTAAGTACATGTACTGAGGCTTTCTTGGATTCAACTTTCTAATTTGGGAAATGTTTTCAAATTAGCTTATTTTCAAAAAATATCACTGTAGAATCTTTAATGAGTCTTTTTAAAAAGCTATTCTTTTTTAGTAGTGGAAAAATTTGGCACTTTTTATGCTTCATATATTTGTTGAGTATGAATTTGAGAAGATTTTATTAGGTTATATTTTGCTAAAAAGTTGGATAATATAGGGGCTGGGGATTTAGCTCAGCGGCACAGCACCTGCCTGGCAAGCGCGAGGTCATGAGTTCGATTCCCGGTACCAGAAAAAAAAAAGTTGGATAATATAATTTAATTAAAATTACATTTATATAATTATATCAATTATATGATCCAGCTGAGTTAGAATGGTTCTTAAGCTCAATAATGTATCAGCAAATAGTGGCTTAAATTAGGGCGACACTGAAATGGATTGTTATTCCATTCTGCTTGTTAAGTAAAGCCTGATCAAGACCAAGATGTCAAACAGATGGAGTGAGAAACTGGCAAAGCTAGGTTATTAAATTGAATTTTGTACCACATTTGAAGTTGCGATTTTGCTAACGTTGGAGAGAAACTTCACATTTTAACCAGTAAACCTCCAAGACAGCATTGCTGTATCTAAAATAACAGACACTTGCCTGTATCACTGTGCCAACTCCCGGGTACCTTTCATGGAGCCCTGCACAGAGGAAGGCAGAACTGGGGGGGTGTATTTTGCAAACCATCAAAACCATTGCCATTGTGTACACAATCCTTAAGTATTTCAAAGTTTCCTTGATAGAGGGACTCTGAAAACACCGTGAATTACCTCTATGACCCCATCATAGAATCCAGTAACAGCCCAAATCCCTTTGATCCTGAGAACATCTTCATCTATATTTGCTTCGTAATGCAAAAGTTGACACACTTGATGCAAACATGAGCCAACCTGGTAGAACTGGTGAAGGTTACACCTAGAGGGACCTGCAGTACTACAGGGAGAGTTCCGTGCTCTAGAGAACCTTTCTTTCATGTATATAATTATATTGCCAAAACTCTTTGGTCGCTATCTATACTCACTGTATTTGTATTTCTAGGCATGCACGTCCATCTCATCCGCACCATTCCCTGGGAGGTTGCTGGTGGGTTAAAGTGTCTTCTTTTCTTGGAGGCAGCTCCCAGTGCTCTGGAGCGTTGTGCCCCAGACAGGGTTCAGTGAACTCTGGTCTCTGCAAGACAATGAAGTAAACTTGGCAAGAGTCGTTTCCTTCTCCGTCCCTTCCTCTCTGCCCCTTTCCATCTTTACTTGCTTTCTCGGATCAAGAAGTTGGTTGTTTTCTTCTCCCTGCTTTTCTTAAATTACATAGTTTACAGCTGTTGCATCAAGAATCCCTATTTTATTTTTTTAACATGTAATTCTTCCAGACAGTTCCTCAAATTATGAAAGTACTGAAAATGATCAGAAGTCTTTCTGTGGACAGCAAGATAGCAAGACTTGTGACCCTTTTTTTTTTGCAAAGTAGCTCTTGCGTTTCCTTGTATAGTGCTTTTTATACTTTTTTCACCAAAGTGGCTCTACCTAGAAGGTTACGGACACAAACCCAGAACTTCACAGCTCAGTCTAAAACTTGGAGCAAGTCGCTACAGGCTCAACATTTTTTGAATGTCTCCTATTTTATCTTGTTCATTTTTCTTTCTGCCTTATAACAGGTAGTCACATGTGCTTTAATATCATTTCCTGCACATCTTCGCCCCAGTGTGGATACTCGCAGGAGGTGTACTTTGAACTTCTGGGCTAGCTGGAGACTCAACTGACACATACACTCCGGTTTGAGAAGAGTGAGCTAATATCAAAAGACAGACGTTTTCACTACATTTTAGAAATTAAGCTACTTAATCTATGACTGACAACATTCATTAAATATAAAAGACACAAATATTAAGTCTATGGCATCCTATGATGAAAGCCTTATGACTGAATTTTTTTGAGAAATACACGATGATTTATTCTTGTAAGCTTTCCCCCAAAGTTTATTTAAAATAATAATAATTTCTAAAATATCATCAAATAAAGGCAGCAGTGTGAGTGACCAAGGGTAGATTCTGGGATCAGGTGTAAGAACTTCAAAATTATCACACATGTGACCTGGGCCTATTGCTTTGTCCCCCTGTGTTTGTTCACCACCTGTAAATTGGGAACGATGCAACCCACTTCACAGAGGTGTGCGATGATTAAGTTACAGCACATATATTTAGAAGACGCTACAAAACTGATGCATGTAAAAGTACACACATAAGCAAGATGGAATTTCATTTTATTAAAGTAGAGGGTCCATTTCAGCAACCCCAGAAGTGTGACTCAGACTCTGCTCGCCTACGTGAGTTAGAACTCCGAAACATTGGCCTTTTATCTCTGTCAGCCCCTGGTCAAATTGTGGCAACAGTTCACAGCCTGGTACTTCATCCTAACTCTCTGTCCCAAAAGATAAGCCACGAAGCCATTGGAAAGGGGCCATCCATCCTGACATCACCAGTTATAATTATTCTTTAGAAACCCCGTTCTCAGTCTGGGCGGAAGTGTGCTGGGCCAGAACTGTCAGGAAACACAGTTGACCGGCCTTTGCCTTCCTGGCGCTGTCTTGTCTGTATGTTATTGTTTCAGAGTATACATTTTTTTTGGTTCATTCCTGAATATGGACAGGGAAACTTTAACCTTTCAAAAAAGCAGTGATGAAGATGCTCGTTGACACTGACCTCAGAGACACCACTCACTGATTGATGGAGCCACTCCTGATTGATGTTTTTTCCCATCACCTTGGCCCTGTATTATCTCTTGGAGATAAACCCTATGTGGATACTTTTCATTGTGCGGATTCCCTAGCAACCAAGCTTTGGGAGCTCCTGTTTATACTGTTTACAACAAACCTAGGTTTCAGTGGAATTTGCTCCCCTCCCACTACGTCCCTGAGATAACCTCTCAAAATGAAAAGGGCCTGATTGTGGTTGGAAGGACTTGCAACAAAAATAGGTTTCATAAACAGGTGCAAAATATAGGTACTGTGTATGTAAAAGAACAATGAGAACAAAGCTCTCTTGATGGTGTTTATACATCTAAACCTCCGTTTAGAGTGAGAAGAATCATGAATATTGGAGTTCAAAGAGCCCATTGTACATAAGAAGAGGACTGAGCAGGAGATCATCTGAGAAGGAGATCACCAAGGTGACTGTGTCCACTGGCTGGCTACCTGCCCATGGCCCAGAAACTGTAAGGCAACAGCCTATAGCTCCTCTTGGGACTTTTGAAGCCTTGTTCTTTTCCCACTGAGCCCAGATAGGTAGAGGGATAACAAAGAATGTATAAATTTGTGTCTGAATGGCCCACCTATGGAAAAAAAAGGTACTGCAATCTTTTCAGCAGAAGATTCATGGTAACTGATGTTATCAAACACATGAATTTATACTAAGCTTGAGCTGTTAGGCTTTCTTGTCAAAAGTGTGTTACACTGGAGGCAGTAAGTGAGAAGGGAGCTACTGGGCTAGGGTTCTGCATGCTGAAAGTTAAGGAATAGAAAAGAGATACTGCAGGAGGCTGTTACAGTTAGCACAGGATGATGGGTAGAGTGATGACCTTCATCACCCGAAGCCAGGGTTCAAACTAACTCTGCTGCTTAGTGGGTAAAACTTCTACCTTCTCCCAGTCCTACATTCCTCTTATGGAAAATGAGGAATGTATAAAGCTGTTGTAATGTTTTTAAAAAATAATATGGGCCAGGTGCCTACATGATAGACTGGAATAAATAGTTTTTATTAATGTGCTGTTGAGTAAAGAGGATGGGAAAATTACACACTTCATAATTTGATATAGTAACTGTTCATAGCAAGCCTATAGAGTAGAGTTACATTAGGTATAATTCTCCTCAATCAATGACTTAAATAAGCCATTTCTGAGACTATGGGCATCTCTACTATGGGCATATCTTTTGCTGAGTATTGAGGCATGAAGACATCACACATGTAGGCCAAGTAAAATATGTCAGAAAATGTTCTTGTGGGATTATATCCCATTTGTTTTCACAGATACTATTCCTACCATGTAGAGGACCATTAATACATGTGTTATGGTTTGTGTCTACATGTCTCCCAAATCCTCAAGCAGTCATGGGGCAGGCTTCTAGATTTTTGATTGATCCATAGCCCAATCCTGGGATTATGGGTGTGAGCGCTACACCTGCCCCTGGGACGGGTAGTTTGCATACAATGTAATGGAGAGAAAGAGGCTGCTTGCCACTACACTCCTCCCCATTGTTCTTGTTGCTTTGTTGTTTTGTCACCATGAACTGTTTTCCTCTGCCAGTGCCACCCTGCCTTGGAGCCAGCCAAGTACAGACTGAAACTTTCACAAACTGTAATCTAAATAAACCTTTCTTCCTTAATCGTGGGAGTCAGGTATTTTGTCTCAGCAATGAGAGAAAAGTAACTGAGACAACATGTTTGTTAAATAAATAAGTGAACCAAGGAACAAATACATTTATAATGATGTGACTTTTTGCACTGGAATAATCACGCAGTTCAGGGGCTGCACTGCACACAAATAACAGTAGAAGGAAAACAAGAAAGGATATAGCTGAATACCCTGCCTCCAATAAAGTGTTTTAATAGTCTAACCCATCAGAGTGAGGATGACTGTGAATCCTTCAAAAGATGGAAGGGGAAGGCTTGCTAAAATATCAAATCAGCAAGCCCTTGTGAATGTCTCTTTCATTTTAAGATCAGGACTAGGCAAAAGAGAAGACATAAATGTCTAGTTGGGGCTCATGAGGTACTCCCAGTTCACTAGAGCTGATGCGAGGTCCTCAGATTGTTACTTTGGGTATGGCAGAAGCCTTCCTGGATTGAAGTGTTATTCTGTATTTTATTAAATGTACACACCAGACTCACAATACCACCTCATATACCAAAATATTTCATGCATACAGCTCATAAAAACTAATTTTAGCAATATACTATATTAGTATATTTAGCAATATACTGTATTACCTTGAGAAACACAGGCTGACACAGTTATAGGTTTTAGTGAGGGGTTTGTACTAGGGATTCAACTTTGTACTGAGCTCCATCCTTATTCTTTTTTTCATTATTTATTTTAAGACAAGTTCTTACTAAGTTGCTAAGTTACCCAGGTTGAGCTCAAATGAGAACTCTTCCTGCCTCAACCTCCCAGAGTGCAGAAATTATAGATATGTTCCATTATGCCCAACTTGAAGTTATTTTTAATAACATTTAAATGATATATTTTCACATTTTCCATCGCAGTGTACTCTACATGTTCTAGCCTATATAAAAAGAAAAGCACTTTATCGCCTCCCTCTCTAAAAATCCTTGCCTTAACTTAATTATTGTTTCCTATCACAAGCCATTCACTCATCATCATTCAGAACCCATCCATCGCATCTCCCCTCAGTTCTTTCTCATTGCACATAGCACTTCAGTACAACTTTATAGAAAAAAAGAATAGAAGAAAAACTCAAATCAGTTATTTATCATGCCTAATAATTGTTTTCTTCATGGATTATACACTGGGTGAAAAGTAAAATTATTAATTGATTGTATTTTGAGCGATCTGAATTTGATGTTTCTTGTCCATTTGAGGATCTGCTGGCTCCCACTGGAGGCCACATGACTCCATCCTCACCTCCTATTGTGGCCACAAATACGTCTCATCCTCCCTGAACTCAGTTATTACTTCAGAGTTTAAGTACATGGGCCAATTAAAGCTAGTGGAATACAGTACAATTTTGCTAGATTTTTTGGGAATGATACTTTCTTTAATGATGCAGAGCGAAGAGGTCAGAAGGAAGACTCCCTCACTGCCACTGTGCTGCTTATCTGGGACACAGGAAGAGAGCTGAAGGCAGCACTGTGGTTCTTGGGTCTGCATGTCCTAGCTCTTCCTGTTCAGAAGAGGCTTAATTCCTTTTCTCAAAGACCACCTCCTTTGCCATTGCTTTGCTTTGCTTTGCTTTTATTCCTTTCCTTCTAAAAAATGTTACAAAATCAGTCTCTTGTTCTCAGCTTTGTGGGTCTTTTTCTCCTCTAAGAGGGAAGGACAAAAAGAAAAAGAAAAAGGGGGAGAAGAAGGAAAGAAAAGAGGAAAAAAGAAAAGGAGGAAGGATAGAAGGAAGGAGGGAAGGAAGGAAGGAAGGAGATGAAAAAGAAAGACAAAACAAAG